TGGAAGATTATTAATAAGGCTGGATTACATCCATATCACTACAGGAAATCTCAAGAATTAACGCCCATGGACTTCTTTTTGTGGAGTGAAATTAAGAGACGTGTGCACAGAAGCGAGCGAATTAGGCTCGAATGATAGCGCATATTGGACGCTAGTGAAAAGACAGAGAAGCGTTAGTACTTTTCTCGTTAAAAACAATTTAATGAAACGAGCCTGTCTGTGTATTAACAATAATTATAGTGGCGGAAATTTCGAAGGACAATTGAAATACTTGTAAGTTTAGTAAATAATACCTATGTAAATAATTATTGTAAATAGCACCTGAATCTAACTTCATAAATATGCCAAAATTTCTCATTTCTTTTAGTACAGAATACCTTATTTTATTGTAATATTTGTTTATTGTTTTCTAATCACATACGTATTTAATTAATTGTAAAAAGGTAATTTTGCCGGTCCTAAGCCCGAATGAATATGAAGGAGAGGTTAGAATTTAGAAAACTAAATAAAGTAGGTAACTACATCACATGTTCTTTTGTTTCATTTTATTGTCTAAGGCCATCTACGTCACAAGTGCGACAGTACGAATGCGAATGAGTAGGATGGAATACCATCAATGAAGTTCAATGAACTAATGAATGGATTGTAAAGTAATATGTCCATGATTTCAGTGAGATTTTTTACAATAAACAAATGATAATAACTTTCCTATTTAAAGGTATTATGAGATTTTTCCGTCACATATATGATAATAATGTCTTCCCTAATATGTCCTTAAAATTTTTGTACTAGTTATAAAATAATGGTGTATACATTGATAATGGAGATTTAAACATAGTATCAACAGTATATCACTTATATTTGTATAATCAGTATCAACATGATAAGGATTTATCTTACAAAAATCAAATGAGCTTTTTTAATACTTTTGATAAATAGTGAACTCACAGTAATTACTTGTATTGTGCATGTACATTAAAAAAATCAGATCATATACACTAAAAAAAATCAGTTTGGTGACTACAGTAATCTCAACTTCAATTTAAAAAAAAAATTGTTGATAAAACTGTAGTTTTATGTGGACAATCATTAATAGACTAATATTGTATAATTCTCTACATTTAAATTACACTTTTCTTCACTTTAGGAAGTCTTCGACAATATTTTAATTAAATTAAACTTTCTTATCTTTCTTCACTTTTGATTCAGGGGCATTAGGGTTTATCCCTTTATAAAACTCTTTGAGCAACATCATAGCTTCATCTGCCAACAAGTTTCCATTTAAAATATAATTTTGTTCATAAAAGTTACTGACATCTAAAACAGTATTTCCACCAAACCTGTCATTGGGGCAACCATATACCACCTCACGGATGTTTAGATTGTTGAGCGCTGCCGCGCACATTATGCACGGTTCAACGGTCACATACACAATTACGTTCTTGAAATATAGCTTGTAATCAATGTCGTTTAATCTACAGTATTCTAGAATTTGATCAATGCAGTTGATTTCCGCATGTCTAGTTGGGTTGTGTGTGGCGTTTACACTGTTTTTTGATTCTGCAATAATTTGTCCGTTAACTGTGAATACACAACCAACAGGCACCTCTTTAAGAGCCAGAGCTTCAGCTGCTAATTCAAGACACCTTCTCATATGATCAACCATATTCGACTTAATCTTTTAACGATACAATTTCAAGCAAATCCTTGATAAAAGTGCAATAAATTGTTTTGTTTTAAACAGTGAAGTGCTTTGTCGTCCCAGTTATTATTGTTTACAGCTCTTGGACTTGGATGTGGCATGTATATTACCTGTAAATATGCAAAAAAATTAAACTTGGTAAATTTATATTTTATGGTGGTAAAGGTGTTCATAAAACTAGTGAGATATATAATACATTTAACTATTTACCTGTATTTTATTTCGAAATGAATACTTGTCCAGAATTTTTTGTGCGCGTAATTCGCAAAATTTTCCAATCGCCACTATGATGTGTACATCATAAAGTTCGAGAACTTTTTTGAATATTGGATCACATATGTGATATAATGAATCTATTTCTGCGGCCTAAAATAAACGATTTAAATGAATAATACGTTAATTAATGAGTTAAGTTGTGGTAAATTATACACCTTTTCATTATCAACTCAATTTTTTGTTTTATGGCCTATCAAGTAATATCGGTAAAATTAAGAATAAATGCTCTCGTCAATCAGAAAGGCTATAAGTTATCGTCATAGATAATACACGGTAATAGTGGCACAAGTTTCTGACTTTAAACTAGTATTAATAAAACTTATAGCTTCCGTTTGCATTAACTACAAGCAAACTCTGGGTTCTGCTATGTTCCTATACAAATTTATATTCTGCAGTATCATTTTCGTTAAGATAATGTTCAATTTATATTTAACAATACTTATATTAATTAGCGTAACTTTAACAGCGTAATTAATGGTGGTAGGACCTCTTGTGAGTCCGCACGGGTAGGTAGCACCACCTCGCCTATTTCTGCAGTGAAGCAGTAATATGTTTTGTTTTGAAGGGTGGGACAGCCGTTGTAATTAACTACATATACTGAGACCTTAGAACTTATATCTCAAGGTGGGTGGCACATTTAAGTTGAAGATGTCTATGGGCTCCAGTAACCACTTAACACCAGGTGGAATGTGAGGTCGTCCAGCCAATGACGCAAAAAAAAAAAAAAAAAAATTCTTTACAAAACCATAATAATTATTTTAATTAAAATATACATACCTTGAAATCACCAGGAGTCAAATTGCATCCATTATTCTTCATCCATTGTTCTGGTAAATAATTATATACAAAACTAGATTCAAAAAAATTGTTTGGTTCTCCACATAAGTTCTTGAACAATCCCCAGAATCGTTTCCCACTTACCTGGAATAAATGTATGAGTATTCATATCAACAACTTTATGATAAAGAGTATTATTATAAGATAATAAAATAAAATCTAAAAACTTTTCATTTTAAATACAATTGAGCCTTAAGTTCTCAAAGTGAATGGTAGTAATTTCTTAGTGCTCATGTGCAAGAGACCTCAAGGACCACAGCTGATCCCCAAATAAAGATTAAGCAAATGAACTAAAATAGTCAAACATGGAAGCGGTATATTGAATTGATTGCATCAACTGAACAATTGAACCATTCGCCCTACGTAGGATTGGCGTGAAGTGGCATGTCATGTTTAAAATAATGTATTAAATTTAAAATAATGTATAAAATTTGAATAACTCTAATACTATATCTGAACATTATTTTAAATACAGTTATGGTGAGACTTGGGGGAATTCAACAGTATGCTTTATGAAAATAAATATAGTTCTTTAACTGTAATGTAATCCAAACAAGAGAAACAGCAACAAAACTTCACCTTGGGGAGAAGTTAAGCTGAAAAAAAAGCAGCTCACCTAATTGTATTGTGAAGATAAGAGTGCTTATACTTAGACTGAGTTTGAAATGAATTATTCAGAGCATAGCCATAGACTTACTTCAGTTCTTTTACAATCAAATCCATTAACTGGTCTAGACTTAATTTCCAGTGGAGGTTTGCCAACAGAGCCTTTTATACCCAGCCAATCTCTGACTGAAGAAATTTCACCAAATGGAACCTGAAAACAAGTAATCAAAATTAGAATTTAATTTTTTTACATTACACCTGTTTTGTTACTTTATTATTTGAACAGTTGCTAAGAACCTGTTAAATTATAGTGTTTACAAATTATAGTTTTCAGAACATTTTGGCATATTTGAGGTAAGTCTTACCTCAAATATGCCAAAATGGCCACTTAAAGGCTAAAAGTTTGCTAAGTTTGAAACTAAAAATGATAGAAATACCTTTAGTGGTGGATATCATATATGGCTAATATCTTGTTAACAGCTTGAAAACAGCTAATATTTTGTTAAAATTTACTGGATGAATAAAATAAACACACTTGTCATCAAGATCATTGAAACTATTAAAAGTAATGTGTTATTAAAATTTGTACCTGGCCTAGATTTCAAGCTTCAGTGTGGACTTATATGACTTGATACAACAAGCGGAGCAAATTACCTGCAAGGAACCAGATGCTACCCTAGCTCTACTTTAATCTACTTTTTTGTTGTACTATCCTTTTCAGTGGTCGTGGTCGTCAGTCAGTACCATTGCAGACGTTAGGCGCCTCACGAGCAATCGCCACTACTCCCGATTTGTGATGAGCCTGGTACACTCATGTAAAATTACTTAATCTACTTACAGATAGTGAAACATGCATGCACTACTAAAACGCAGTATTCTTATCTTACTCCAGTTTGTGACATTCCCCAGGGTCCTGGATTCATACCAAAGTACATAATACGCTTTTTTGTATTGCAATATTTTTTTACATACGTTTCGAAACATTCTCGAGCATATTTAGTAGGATTATAAACACATTGGACGGAGGCTGGTGTTTTAAAATCATCTAGTTGCTGATTTAATTCATCAATATAAAATAAAAAATCTTCGGCAATAGTACTACTATGTTTGTTAGTTTTGGGTTCCGAAAAGAATGAGGAAACAACACACGGTTCCGTCATGTTTGGTGTTGTTAAACAGTACGGTATTTATTTCACTTAATTCTCACCTAATTCATAAAAATATTAAGATGAATAACAAAGTAGTAGTGTATACAGATTCTGTGATTTTTTAAAAACACTAACACAACCCTTTAAATTTTAATTTTTTATTTAGGGATTTTATGACCTGGTCACTAAGACCTTTAAGTCATGTCTTATTTTAATTTATATATTCTTATTTTTATGAAAAATGATAATATGGACTGAAATGAAATGAAGATGATTAATTTGTGACATTAATCAACTGGGACAAAATTAAATGAAATGAGATGAGATGATATGAGATGAAATATAATCTCAGTAAAATGGTGGTCATTTACTAAGATTTTTTCAGTGGACTTTTTGGAGGATCCCGAGAAGTTTCATTTTCCCACATGTTTGCGCGCTGTTGTGCGCTTTCACAGATACTAAACAATTAACAAACCACCATTATTACACATTTAAACCTTAAGAAACACAAAATAGACAAAATAAAACAAATCACACAACTTCACTCCTCGCGTTCCCGCCAAAAAGTCTCAACACTCTCAACCCTTTTTTTTTTTAAGGGATTTTATGACCTGGTAACTGAGACCTTTGAGTCATGTCTTATTTTAATTTATATTCATATTTTTATGAAAAATGATATTATGGAGTAAAATGAAATGAAGATGATCAATTTGAGACATTAATCAACTGGGATGAAATTAAATGAAATGAAATGAGATGATATGGGATGAAATATAATCTCAGTAAAATGGTGGTCATTTACTAAGATTTTTTCAGTGGACTTTTTGGAGGATCCCGAGAAGTTTCATTTTCCCACATTTGTGCACTTTCACAGATACTAAACAATTAACAAACCACCATTATTACACATTTAAACCTTAAGAAACACAAAATAGACAAAATAAAACAAATCACACAACTTCACTCCTCGCGTTCCCGCCAAAAAGTCTCAACACTATCTACCCTTTTTTTTTAAGGGATTTTATGACCTGGTAACTGAGACCTTTAAGTCATGTCTTATTTTAATTTATATTCATATTTTTATGAAAAATGATATTATGGAGTAAAATGAAATGAAGATGATCAATTTGAGACATTAATCAACTGGGATGAAATGAAATGAAATGAAATGAGATGATATGGGATGAAATATAATCTCAGTAAAATGGTGGTCAGTTACTAAGATTTTTTCAGTGGACTTTTTGGAGGATCCCGAGAAACTACGTCCAGCAGCTTTGTTTCATTTTCCCACATTTGTGCACTTTCATAGATATTAAACAGTTAATAAACCACCATTATTACACATTTAAACCTGAAGAAACACTAAATAGACAAAATAAACCAAATCACACAACTTCACTCCTCGCGTTCCCGCCAAAAGTCCCTCTCAACCCTTTTAATACTCTGAAGCATAGATTATACACTTAAGAAGTGTCAGTGTCAAAAGTTCAAAACAAAAAGGAGACCGGAGACTGACTTGTGTAATATTCAAACAAAAAATAATAATATTATTCAATTAAAAATTAGGCTGATATTACTTTATATTATAAAGCAATGTGGTTATGATGTGACTGGTGCTTTGTGCTATTTCGCGATATACTATTCAACAAAATCTTTCAGTGAAACGTGACTAACCTAAACCAAGGCCTTTAGATGTCTACTTTGAACGAAGACATTGTTCGCAACATAGTTGTAACAGCCAACAAACCAATAGTATTTAGAAGATTTGTCAATACTTGGCCACTAAGCAGTTGGAGTGTTGAGAAATGGACCACAATATTCGGTAATAAGGAAATACCGTTTCGCTGTATGAAAAAAGACTTCAGATCGGACGAACCTTGTTGGGAGCGTAGATGTGAGGCCAAAAGTATGACTTTCAAGCAGTTTATAGATAATTTGGACACCAGCGAAGAGTGGATGTACTTCGACTACAAATACGTCCATAAATGGTTTGTAAGCGAGGATGAACTTTATAAGGTGAATATCGAATGTTAATTTTCTAAATACATTATTCAGCATTGGTCTTACGACGAATTCAAACGAACCGAAAAAATGGAGATATATTTTTTTGTAACCCAGCTTTCTGGTTGGAAGTAGAATTGTTGAGCTTTGTAAGCAGTTAGCAGTAAGTAGGTTGTTTCAATAAAATTGCATATCCCAATTTCTAGGACATATCATGGAAGGATTTTGGTTTTCCAAATAAAGGAGCGTCAGATACTACTTTGTGGATTGGCAGCAAGGGCTCTCACACACCAGCACACCAAGACACATATGGAGTTAATATTGTGGCACAATTATATGGAAAGTGAGTTGTTTTCAGTTCTATAATTGAAGGGAGTAAAAAAGCCAAAATTAAAAATAAATTGATGATTATATTTAGAAAACATACTTCAACTTTGTAAAAAAATACCCACAAGCTATTTATTAAAATTTCAATTAAATTATTTTTATTATCGATATATCTAGTTCTACGATTAATCTCTAAATTTTTTACCCAAGTAGACTAAGTCCGTTTGATATTCTAAATTAAAACTGATACATTTTATTTTATGTAACTTTTTATATATGCACTTGTTGTATATGTATGTTATATATGTGTATGTTGTTGTTGTATGCACTATGTTAACTTATATAAATATGCAATTAAGTTGATTAGGCCTTTTGTTCAACGATTTTAGTAGCAATTGCTGGAAACTAAAATTGGGAAGCATAATAGTTATCTTCAATAAATTAGTATAACCGAAACATGTTCTGACTGACTGAAGATTTGTTGAAGATTTCAGAAATCTGCAGTATGCAGGCCACGCAGAACACGTTTTTGTGGCAAGCCTAGGAGAGGTCTTTGTCGAGCAGTTGGTACAAATATCCAAAAATTAAATATCAACCTACAAATAGGGTGTCATTTAATTTCTTAAGATACAAGTAAAAGAACATTTAACTTAATTAATAAAATATTTTTTTTACATGAAGTTAACTGAAAATTCTTTCTAGTTACTATGTAGCACATTTTTAGGAAGCGTTGGATACTGTTCCCCCCAGAAACCGGTGGATTAAAACCGACTAGGGTGCCTTATGAAGAGTCAAGTATTTACAGTGAATTAAATTTCCATTGTCCAAGCGATTTGGAGCAATTTACGCGTGAGTCAAGATTTTTATGTTAATACAGTAAACAATAACACTAACTCAGATTTTATGATGAGAATATTTTTATGAAATAGATGACTCGTTAATTTTGTTTTAGCAAAAACTGTAATTGTGTTTTAGACTTGACTGGAGCTAGAGTAGTGGATCTGACTGCAGGTGATGCGCTTGTGGTACCCAGGGCATGGTGGCATTACGTTCAAAATATGGATCCTCTCAACATATCTCTGAATACCTGGCTACCTCATGTAAGACGTGTAATCAATAATAGATTTATTTATTAATTTAGATAGATTTAATTATTGTTAACTATCTCAATTTATTTATCAGGAAAAAGATACATCAACTCAGGTGTCGGAAGCTCTCATCAAAATATTTGTAGCACAGATATGTAAGGATCTTCCTGAAGATACAGCAAAATTGTTGATAAATCCGAACGAGGTAAATAATATTATACTACAGTAATTTTTATCAACGTATTGATATCACTGTCTTAAGTTCATTATTAAGTCTGATTGAGAGACCCGGTGGTCGTAGTGCTGACGATTATCGTTTCAGCTCTCCCCCACCCCAGATTTGTGGTGGGGAGAGAACATTCCACGCAAAGCGTGTCACTTTGTCTCCTGCCTACCTCCATTGAGTTTAATGTCGTCTAGGGCTCGGACGCGGGTTTATTGACCGGGAGTCAGTTTAGTTCAATTCCCACATACCCACCCTGCTTAATTCTCATGTCGTAGCCGGCTGTTTCCTCCTATTCCAGGAAAAAAGTCCAATAACAAATCATCATATATAAAATTAGTTTTTGCTCGTACTTGCTAGCGACACTTGTTCAAAATTTCCCCTCCTCAATAAAGGATCAAACAATTCACTGAATGTTTAAATTACATTAATTTTATGAGATGCACTTCATAGAAATTTTAATTTCATTCCAGGATGATATATCGGTGACGCCTTTGGTCGTGCTGTTCCTGCAGCTAGAGATGGTCGCCAAAAGTTATTTGGATAACCGACGTAAAACGCGACGCGCCAAGCGACAAAAGACCTGCGAAGAGAATCAATCGACAACCGAAAGCGGAGAACTCAATATTGAGGCTCTCATACAAAACGAGTGTAATAAGCTGGAGGTACCGCCGCCGATAACTGGCGAACAACTTGTGGACATGATCAGACAAAATCTGCGCGAATATGTTAATTTCGAACGGCCTTTACACGACGACGAGATTGATGGATCGACTTCAAGCCTTTGCTTAACTAAAGCCCTTATAGACGCGTTCACGCAGAGCAATGTCATAGATATTGTAAAGGAGAATCTATTTGCCAGACTAAGCTAAGCTCGGTTCGGTTAGGAAATATCAGGGTCTGGAAGACTGGTTGTGCTAGAAGCACGGATCTCAAATGAGTAAAATTACTCGATTCGTTTTGATTCTTTAAACTCTGCAAATCATGTTGATTCTAAATTTGCTTAAAACAGATCTTTATTCGTATAAATTATTAATTATATTAATATCTAAGAAATAACTTAATATTAGTAGGTATAAATAAGTTTTTAAATTTCTGCAATAAAAATGACAATTCTGATTAAATAAATAGCATAGGTATCAGTTTTTGACGTAGTGAATGTTACTAGTAATAATATGCCTTATTGGAATATTCTAAATGTTAATTTTCATTTGCAGTCATTACAATTATTACATCAAATAAAAAATTGAATTTAATTGCAGGCGTATCATTTACCTAAAATAAATAGTCACGCGGGTTTCTATTATTTAATAAACATTATAACCTTTTCGAAGGTCGATATAACATGGAAAAAAGGTTGCAAGTGTACATCAGTGGGTATCACCATTGCTATCTTTTCTCTTCATTTCTTCTCTTCTTCTTGCTATCTCCATCATTTTTATTTTTGACACTCCATCTTTTTTATTCTTGACACAGGTGAATGAGCTTAACGCCTATCTCGTTACCAGACCCCATAGACGTGAACAACGTAATTGCGCCACCCACCTCGAGATATAAGTTCTAAGGTCTCAGTATAGTTACAACGGCTACCCCACTCTTCGAACCGAAACGCATTACTACTTCACGGCGGAAATAGGTGGGGTGGTGGTACCTACTCGTGCGGACTCACAAGAGGTCCTACCACCAGTGATTACGCAAATTATAATTTTGCGGGTTTGGTTTTTATTACACGATGTTATTTCTTCACCGTGGAAGTCAATCGTGAACATTTGTTGAGTACGTATTTCATTAGAAAAAAATGAAAGATGTGCTGTCGTGGGACACCAGGTAGGAACGAAGTTCCTTCGGCTAATGTAGAATCGACATTTGCAAAAAAAAAATCGTGCTCAATTTTATGTAGGTTTTCTTGATTTTTCTCTTAAATTTTGCTGATTAGTTTTTATTTAAGTGCAGGAAAGTATGTAAAAGTAAAAGAAAGAGGGAGAAAGAGAAAGGTATTATACACTACTCGCTTGTGTATGCGACTGTCGCGCCTGCGCACGTCTCATTTAACGGTTTTATTCCATGCACTTTTTTCCACGGATTTTTTCTTACGGTTTTACTATCACATTTTTTTCAGTTCGGTCGCGCAGCAAAATCCCTATCACCTCCAAGCCTGCCGTAAGGAACTTCGTTCCAAAAATTGGTAGCCGAAACTGACAAATGAATAAAGTTATCTAATCTAATTTTAAAGTTATCTCTAGCAATATTTACTTTACGCCGGCGATCACTGAACATCAGTTGAACCATGAGTGTTTTCCCATCTCGGTGCAGTTAAAAAAAAGAAATACTTTGTATTCCAATAATTTATTTTCGAACAACATTGATAAGTATGTTTTCTTAAACAGTCTAAATATATAAAATAGAAATACTATTTTACAATTTTATGTGGTTACATAAAAAAGACATATAACATTATTCCTGTTTAGACTTAATGTACGAACGGTAGTAAAAATCTAAAAATAGAATAACCATGAAGAGATTTTGTGGTATAAGGATGTAGGCAGGCTGTCGTGGAAATGCGCAATCTTGTGTTACAACTGTTGCTAGGAAAGATGCCAATACCAATGTGAATTGAGCCTAAAAAGAAAAAGAAATTAAACACAGATATCACAACAATATTTTGTACGTTTGTTTTAGAATGGCACGTTGTTTTTATCAAATACAAGGGACTCTATGATATCGAAATAATACAGTTGCGACTTTGGCCTTAAGGTATGTTTTTAATTTAAATTGGTTGTATCTACCAGGTACTGAGTCTATATCGCATTTGAGTAACCAAAATATCCGGAAACTATCCGATATCCGGCTTATGTGACGCATACTTGCAGCCTGTAAATGTTAACACACCGTTCACATTTCAAGGTTGACTATCCGGCGAAACAGCTATCCGGTTTATCACTACTAATAGTTATGATTAATCGAACTTTTGCAATTCTGTACGAATTTATCGATATTCAAATTGCAAAAGTTTGTTTTCTCATTTCAATGTTTACCTAAGAACTTACAATTTGTATTTGGGTAACATGCTTCTTCCACCACATCGATTTTTTATAAGAACTATCCCACACTGTTAGTAGGTAGTACGAGTACATAATTATATGGACGAAACTATTCAGTGTCACCAACATCATGCCATGGCCACCTGTAAAAAGATTATGAATACTAACCGAATAGGTACTGTAGCTGTTAAAATGTTATGAATTTATAAAAACACTAGCCGACAGACTTGTCCTGCAAAAATTCACTCAAGTCGTTTAGTTGTAGTATAGATAAATAACCTAGATACCGACTGCAGCGCCATCTGCCGGGCTGTGAATCTAAACCATCCAGGGTGCCACCCAAACTCATACAAAAAAATCATTCAAATCGGTCCAGCCGTTTAGGAGTTCAGTGATAAACACACGCATAAAAGAAATTTATATATAATGTTTTACTAACATTGTTAGCGAACATGAATTGTCTAGCGTGTATTTTTTATTCCCATAGAAAGAGCAGTATCTTGGTGAACCGTACCAAGGGCACAGATGAGCCGCTGCATATTGTTTAGAATCGGCAGCGCTATCACTTATTTCGCAGATAATTAGCAGAAGACAAATATTGTGCAAATATTGCTGTCAACTGTCAATTTCGTAATACGGACATACAATACAAGAAGACATGCATACAAGAAGTCGTCGTGGCCTTTAGAAGTCGTTGTGGCCTTTAGAAGTCGTCGTGGCCTAAAGGATAAGACGTCCGGTGCATTCGTGTTGAGCGATGCACCGATGTTCGAATCCCAGGCGGGTACCAATTTTTCTAATGAAATGCGTACTCAACGTCCACGATTGACTTCCACGGTAATGGAATAACTTCGTGTAGTAAAAATCAAACCCGCAAAATATAATTTGCGTAATTACTGGTTGTAGGACCTCTTGTGAGTTCGCGCGGACGTACCACCACCCTGCCTATTTCTGCCGTGAAGCAGTAATGCGTTTCGGTTTGAAGGGTGGAGCAGCCGTTGTAACTATACTTGAGACCTTAGAACTTATATCTCAAGGTGAATGGCGCATTTACGTTGTAGGTAACCACTTAACATTAGGTGGGATGTGAGCTCGTCCACCCGTCTACGTGATCAGGGAGTAGGGAACATCCGGAGCTTATTCCAGAATACGACGGTGCGTGGCAAAAATGATTTCTTTAAGCACACCGTAGATAATTTCTTTTCCCGTGGCGGGAAGTGGGGTAGTAATTACATAATATACCTAGTTCACAATAAATGCAGCTTAAATATATCTAAATACCAACACGTCAATGACAGCTCGATATATTTATCAGTTTGTTTTGTAATGTACAATTTGTGTTAGGAGAAAATGTTGTTCTAAGTTTAAAGGCATATTTTTCTATTTTACAAATTTCTGGTTGGTTTCGTACCTGGTACCCATTTCACAATTCCCCAAGATACAGCTACCATCCCAAAGTGATGGTATACATGTAGGAAGGTTACTTGATTTTGTTTTTTTCGTAAAACAAAGAATACCTGTTTGGAAATTATTATCATAGTTAACATTGCGTGCTAAAACACGAGTTTTTTAAAATACGGACTTAATACTTAACTTTGAACACAGACATGTTTGTTTTGCAGGTGGGTACCAAATTTTCTAACGAATTACGTACTTAACAGCTTCTGCCATGAAGCAGTAATGCGTTTCGGTTTGAAGGGTGGGGCAGCCGTTATAACTATACTGAGACCTTAGAACTTATATCTCAAGGTGGGTGGCCCATTTACATTGTAGATGTCTATGGGCTCCAGTAACCACTTAACACCAGGTGGGCTGTGAGCTCGTCCACCCATCCAAACAATAAAAAAAAATGGTTCGATGAACCTTACTGACTTGTTTGTAGCGTGTTGAAACTTGGCCTCGTTGATATTAGTAATACTCGTGGATAATAGAGTTGGTTATTTTATTGCCTAATTCGAAAATGACAATAGCTTTTATTGTTAATGATTCCTGAGCATTAAACGTTCAGATAGTGTTTTTTCACTAATTTTATACCACGGACTAATCGTACGTTTCGGTTCGAAGGGTAGATTAGCCGAAGCACTGTGTATGGGATTTCGAACTCATATCCCGAAGGGGCTGGCGGCATTCACGTGATATCCATGGGTTCCGGACACAACGTAACATCAAATGGACCGACAGCTCTACTACCCTTCTATGCAACTAAAGAAAAATCCGTCAGTATTATTATCGACGTAACTTACCGTATCGAGAAGATCTAATAGTTTTAACATAAAATATCCATAGCAGACTCTCCATGCGATGTCGATTCCATATGGTCCATCGTCTATTGACGATTGACATATCAATTTGTAGTGATTAAGCCAAGCTAATGATAGACTCTGTAAATCAACTTTTGAGTTTGTATTCGTCACTATCAACCTTATATTGTGTGAATCTCAATATAATCGAAATATTAATTCTAATTAAACTATATACTCAACACGAACGCCTGATTGCTTCAAGGCATTAAGTAGGACGGCAGAACAAATTGGACTAAGTGGTGCAGATTCACAATGTTCTTTACCTATATTTAGGACAGGGCTTAGAGAGGAAAAGGACCTTAGAGAGAGAATTAAGAGTTTAGAAGGAATAGATGACAAAGCGGTGTGGTATTAGATCGATAACGCCGGTTTTACATCAACAGTTTCATCTGTTCCGTCTTGTACCCGTCTATTATTTATCTACTATCTATATTATTACAGGAATGCGCTGTGAAAACGACAACTCTTTAGTGCAGCGTCTAAACATTAATAACATTTGATTTCCTGACTTTCAAACTACATAACATAAATAATTATAATCGGACAAATATTTGATTTTTTTAATAAGGGTCAATACGTTTTTAGAAGGATTATACATACCTGATAAAAAACATATCCGCAGCCAATTATCTGAAGGATATTAAATGCAACAATAATTTCGCGTAGTTCGAAGGCAGGCTTATTCCTCATGTAGTTTGGTAACCATCTCAATACTGCCATCAGGTATATAGCTAGTATGCCCAGACCTAACCATGGTGATCTCATAAGAAACCAATCTTGTGTTCTGGAATCTAAGAAATCGAAAGTAGGTAATATCTTATAATTGAATATAGCAGGTATCATGCTATTTCTAGTCCTTAAATTGTATGGCTTTGAATAAGGGTTGTCAGTTATTTACGTATTTATTGTATGAAAGGAGTAGGTTCAAGAACCTATAAAAAGAGTATGTCTCTAAAAGAACTATATCAAAATATCATTTATTTTGTTGATTTATTTGGTAAAAGACGTGCCTATTTACCGTTAATTTTTTTGTACCTGATAGCTTCTTTTAAAATAAAGCTAATACCACGATTTCGTCGCCCATAGGAAATCATGATACGGGTGTGATAATGGAACAGCCGATTCGGAACGCGATAAACCATAAACCAGTCATGCGTGCAATAAATCGTAACCATGAAGCGACGATTAGCAGTAAAAAGTTTGGTAGGACCAACATAACACTGTTCCATATTGGCGGGACTGGCGATGAGCATATGTTCTGCCGTATTGTCATCGTTATCGCGACGGTGGCATGTTAGAGATAATGGCCGAAGCAGTCGTGACACGTGAGCACTTGCGTCGCCGGAAGGTCAGACGTCTTAGATCACGGTTCACCGTTCAGTGCCAGTCCGCGAGAATCGGAAGAATCGTCTCGAACTCGATAATAGATTAATCTAACATCAATGTATTCGGTAGAATTACCTTGTACATATTGTCGCACAAAAAAGTTAAGAAATATTTTAATTCGAAGTCGTCGTGGCCTAAAGGATAAGACTTCCGGTGCATTCGTATCTAGCGATGCACCGGTGTTCGAATCCCGCAGGCGGGTACCAATTTTTCTGATGTAATACGTACTTAACAAATGTTCACGATTGACTTCCACGGTGAAGGAATAACATAGTGTAATAAAAATCATCCCCGCAAAAATTATAATTTGCGTAATTACTGGTGGTAGGACCTCTTGTGAGTCCGCACGGGTAGGTACCACCGCCCCGCCTATTTCTGCCGTGAAGCAGTTATGCGTTTCGGTTTGAAGGGTGGGGCAGCCGTTGTAACTATACTGAGACCTAAGAACTTATATCTCAAGGTGTGTGGCGCATTTACGCTGTAGATGTCTATGGGCTCCAGTAACCACTTAACACCAGGTGGGCTGTGAGCTCGTCCACGCATCTAAGCAATAAAAAAAAAATATTTTAAGTTTAATCACAACTTTTGTACTGAAACCATATTTTTACTGCGATCTTAACTGCGGTGTTCACGACTCAATATTGGAACATTTTGTAACTTTGGTCTCGTTAGTATCATAAATATAAGCGTGCAATTGAAGAGGCTTATGTCCGTGGACTGCTACACTGATGATAATTATGATGAACAGTCATTGTCCCTTAACTACTTCTTTTTTGTTAATGTCTATGTATAGTTACAGACTTCCTGCTCGTAGAATATAAAAAATAAGCGCTGGACGGTTCTGGAGAATTCTAAAGTCCGTTTGGTCAAATTTTATAACCACTATAGTAACCTCCGGAGTTAGCTAAATGCAGAGTTTTTTTTAAAAATAAAATCAAACTGGGCTACCTATCGACAGATACGCATGGTCACTGACATAGTTCTTTAAATCAGTATACTGAAATAAGAGTGCTTTGGAGTAACAACATTGTCGTTCTTTCAATAAATATCACGAATCGCAAATACTCGATAATCTACCAATACCTCACCAGATAAATGAGTCGTCTATTATCAAAGGTGGCAATCTGTACATTTGGACAAAATTTTTTTATTGATATGTCAATACAGATTTATTTGAATATAATCGTCTCCTTCAAAGAATACGGTTCAAAACCTGCATTAAATAAAGGTTAATAGTTAACCTGTTATTTATCTAAGATGTCGTTCCGAAGAGTTTTGTGACTGCCAATGGAATNTATGTCAATACAGATTTATTTGAATATAATCGTCTCCTTCAAAGAATACGGTTCAAAACCTGCATTAAATAAAGGTTAATAGTTAACCTGTTATTTATCTAAGATGTCGTTCCGAAGAGTTTTGTGACTGCCAATGGAATACAAAGTCAATAATTCGTTTTTCTGATTTACCAATCATTGTCCAAAAGTCAGATTGCCGCCTTTAATAATAGTCGACTCAAATATGCATTTCTTTGAACAGCAGAGACAAAATAACTGAACATTTCCTTAAGATTCGGAAGATAAAACTAACGATTGAATTGAGCTCGCCTTTGTAGGTACATACGCCTATTTTTTGTTGTTATTAAATGATGTATTTTCTTTGTCAAAATAAAAGATAATGTGATAGGATGTTTTGTGAGCTGGCGGGTGCGGAGTGGTGATGTGTTGTCGTTTGAAGAATCGTTGTTAGAGTTGAGACCTAGACCGCAAGTCTCAAGTTGGATAGCGGCATTCACGGAGTGATGTCTATGGGCCCCGGCAGCTAGCACCATCGGGGCCGTGAGCTCGCTTAAGCGACCAACATAATAAATAAATAAAATCAAGATTTTAATTCACAGGAAAGTTGTGTTAATATGTTTCTTACCAGCAATTTCTTCATTGAGATAATAGTATAATTTCACTGCTCCACGTAATATAACCGACATTGGTGTTTATTTTTGTTTTTTTATTCTTAAAGACGAAAAATACGATACGCTCACCCAACGCTCTATATAACAATGCGCAATCAGTGGCTTTCATTATTATTCATTAATGAATTGTAATTTATTAATTAACATATTGTTACAATTGCACCCACTGTTTTTTTTTTCGCCTACCTATACGGTGGTGGTCTAAGGGGCAATTCCAGCTTCTCGCGGACGGGGCCTAGTGACTGCAGGAGCACCCTTATGGACAACAGCGTCACCAACAAATAGCGTAAACAAATACAATGGGAATGGCAACTTGCGCCACTGGTGAGGAGTAAATGAACGTTCATGAAACGATCGCGTCTGTACTAAACATCATATCGAAGTTCTGGAAGGTTCAACTGTAAGCCAGACCATAGGGTGGAGCGTATAAGCGGGAACGAACGTGTCGTTATACCCATCGGAGTGCCATGGTATGCGAGGAATGTAGATCTTCACGACGATTTAGAATTAGAACCGATTAGTAAGTTTCTGAAGACAGCGTCCGACGCACTTCTTAGTTAAGTCCTTACGGATCCTTCCAATCCACTCTCCGTACTTTTAGACATATCAAGCGTCAGTCACCGTTCTCGTCGAATTTGCACGTCCAAAGGAGTTCGACCAGCAAAATAACTCACAGGCGCAGCTACTGAGTTTCTCTGCTGATCTTCTTAGTGGATCGTGATTTCGATCTAGTGGTAGCGAAGCACTGTTCTTGCTAGGGAACATGTTTGACAGTCGTCGTGGCCTAAAGGATAAGACGTCCGGTGCATTCGTATGTAGCGATGCACCGGCGTTCGAATCCCGCAGGCGGGTACCAATTTTTCTAATGAAATACGTACTCAACAAATGTTCACGATTGACTTCCACGGTGAAGGAATAACATCGTGTAATAAAAACCAAACCCGCAAAATTATAATTTGCGTAATCACTGGTGGTAGGACCTTTTGGGAGTCCGCACGGGTAGGTACCACCACCCCGCCTATTTCCGCCGTGAAGCAGTAATGCGTTTCAGTTCAAATGGTGGAGCAGCCGTTGTAACTATACTGAGACCTTAGAACTTATATCTTGAGGTGGGTGGCGCATTTACGTTGTAGATGTCTATGGGCTCCAGTAACCGCTTAACACCAGGTGGGCTGTGAGCTCGTCCATCCATCTAAGCAATAAAAAATAAAATATGTTGGAAAATCATTTCATGCTGAACCCCGTGAGCTCACTCACGATTCACGGTGGAATTGATTAAAAACGAAGTAATTCGACAGGGACAGATTTAGGGGAGGGCAACCGGGGCCTCCACAAACGGAGGGCCCCCACAATAGAGACTTTGGAAAAAAATGTTTCAAATTCCGAAAAGTAAACACTAGTAAACGTCTTCCTTCTCCTTCAATATTATTTAAAAAAATTGTATTTCAGAATATTTCAGAAAATTTCAGATAATTCTTGTCTCCGATTATATTTATGTATGTTTCTTAAATACTAAGATAATCTACGTGGTTTCACAATAAATTATTGATTGGAAAACTCGACTGAAAAAAATTGTTCATTTTATTTGGAAAATAATTTGGGGGCCAGGGGGCCTCCGCTCTTCTGTTGCCCCGAGGCCTCTAGACTTGTTAATCCGGCCCTGCCATTCGAAGCCAATAACGATCCAAGGCGCCGCGGCGCCGATTAGAGTGTAACGTACTATATAGAAATGTTTCAAAGAGTGAGTTTTATACGTATACCTATTAATACGTATACCTAATTTATACGTATACCTATTACTCGTGGTAAAAATGAATATTTAAAAAAAAACATGTGTGCAATTTACACGTGGTAGAAGTGAAACCTTCCTAAATTAAAATACAATTATCCTGAACGTCTTAAGTATATGTAAAATTTTGTCATTAGTAAATAATTGTAAGGTAGCGCCCTCTGTGAATTGATATTTTAATTTCACGTATAATCCTAAATTAAAATTCACTACAAGAGCTTTCATACACACGTTAGTATTAAAAAATCTCACAAATGGCGCTGTATTAAATAGTATGTATATTTCTGTCTCATTCTTTGCTGGCTTCATCCNTTGATATTTTAATTTCACGTATAATCCTAAATTAAAATTCACTACAAGAGCTTTCATACACACGTTAGTATTAAAAAATCTCACAAATGGCGCTGTATTAAATAGTATGTATATTTCTGTCTCATTCTTTGCTGGCTTCATCCTACACATTTTTGTATTTGTGTCTCTTACCTGTCGTTTTTTCCGTTGCATCCGGTTTAAAATCACAACGATTCTAAAGAAGTTTTCACTTCAAAAACCTAATATAAAAAAAATCTGATATTTAAAAAAAAAGACATGCCCGCTGAGTTTCTTGCCAATTCTTCTCAGGACGGAGGCTAGTTTTTGTGAATTGGCGGTAGTTCTTTTGACGTTCAACAAGTATGTAATTTCATTTATCGATCTATATATATAAAAATGAATTGCTGTTCGTTAGTCTCGCTAAAACTCTAGAACGGATGGCCCGATTTGGCTAATTTTGGTCTTGAATTATTTGTGGAAGTCCAGAGAAGGTTTAAAAGGTAGATAAATATGAAAATGCTCGGAATTAAATAAAAATAACAATAACAATTTTGTTTTTCCTTTGATGTGTCCCCCGTCGGACGGATTCATTTTGTTTGTTTTAAGTTTATTTTTAAAAAAAACCTAAGGTCTTTTATGTATCGTTTGAGACAGTACGAAGTTTGCCGGGTCAGCTAGTGTTGAATATTTTTTTTTGATTTGATTTGATTACGTGTTCGGAACTATATCTTGTGATGTGAAATTTTAATTTTTATTGTCTGTTATTGAAATTCGGGGTTATTATAAGTGTTTTTTCCAGTCTCAATTATTGATTAATTTATATATAAAATCTATGTAGGTAACTGAGCCGATAAATAAGCATTACATTCAATGAGTTCGACAAATAGGTAATTTAAAGATGGACATAATCTACTGAAAAGAGGGCGACTTTGTCCGTGCTCGCGATCGTTTTTAATACAGTTAAAAATATCGTATTGTTTAATCTTAAAATAGCCGTTTTTTATTTATCAATATTAGCCTGAGTCAAAACGTCACTTAGGGATATCCCATGTCTTGGTTCGAATATTTGGTATATGTATACTTTTACAATATAATTTTTTTATTATTTTTTATCGCCTAATTGGTGAGCTTCGTTTAATATGCTGTATATTCGTGTAGGCAATGTAATATTGGTGTTAACAAAAATGTACCGTATTTCAAAAGTGTTGTCTGTTTAATTTTTATTTAAGTAAAGATCCGATTGATATATTTCCACATTAATTAAACAGTATTAAAATGAATTCAGCCGCGGTGATTCTTTTTCTTAAATGTCTGGATGATCTCACGGCTCACCTGGTGTTAAATGGTAACCAACATTAACAACGTGAATGCCGCCACCCAGCTTAATAAGATACGACTTCTAAGTCTCAGTTTTTACAGTACAACGGCTGCCCCACCTTTCAAACTGAAACGCTTTACTGCTTTATGGCAGAAATAAGCAGGGTGGTGGTACCTACCCGTGCGGACTCACAAGACACCCCACCAACAGTAATTACGAAAATTTAGCAGGTTTGATTTTATTACACGATGTATTATTCCGTCACCGTAGAAGTTAATCGTGAACGTTTGTTAAGTACCTCCCTATCTACGTACCTACCTACCTAAGTACCTACGTATTTCATTACAAAAATTGGAACGTGCATGCGGGATTCGAACATCGGCAGAGTCGCATCACTCGCTACGAATGCACCGGGTGTTTTATCCTTTAGGCCAAGACGACTTAAATAATACTAGTGCATTATTATTAATGGGAGCTTACCTTTGGTGGATTTATTTCAGGTTTATTTACAGTCTATCAACTATAAAAATGACAATATAAATGTGTAGGGTCTATTTAATTTTGAACATAAACACTTAATCTACGATGAATACAAATAATGCACCATTAGCCAATGCTACTCTCCAGACTGCGTCGCAGAGGAAGGATACTTTGTTTGATATTTGATTGTTAGTGACGATTTGGCGTATTCGAAGGATCACGTCGGCAGTTCAGTGTAAGCAAGCATTATGCCGGCCACTGACATGCGCGAAAATATTCGTATATTGTACGAATGTTTGCGCGCATGTGAACCTAGCGGCTGTGCAAATGGGTTCGCATACTCAATTTGCGAACCCGTTTGCGCTTCCTCTTGTTTGTTGTTTACGAATGTCTCACGAATTTATCCTCCTTTTTAATTCGTCAATAGAACATTGAAGAGAAAAAGAGTTTTGAATTCTTTCCCAGACATCATTAACAGCCATGCTGTTTTTATGGGATTTCTTTTGATGAAGATACGCTACACAGTAGACGTCACGAATTATGAAAATGGCGATACGTCCGTTACCTTCGCAATCGTCGGCGCAACTGGGCAAACGAATGTGTGGGAGACTACGCGAAGGTTCACGGTTCGCGCGCTTTGATGTCTGTTAAAAAACCGACACAGCTTGGAAAACCATGAATGCAGCGAAAACTTTGCATAATCATTTGCAAATGTCGTCACACACTTGCGGGTTTGCGTATTCGTGCGCATGTGAGTGACCGGTATTAGAATCAAAATGCTTCGTATTTCAGCGAACCTTTGAAATCTCTTTAGACAGGAAGGAGGAATCATTTTGCGTTTGCAAAAATAGAAATTAAAATGAAACACTTTTCGAAAATGTTACATGTGTATAATTGTCATTAAAACAGTAGGTACTCATCGAGAAATCCAAATATATATTAAAATATTTCTTCTGAAGCACATGATATGCCAAAAACAATGTCAATTATCAGCTTAAGTTTAGTTTTTAAATGGAAACTCTGCATGTTTCTCTATACCTGGGAAGAATGTGAAATCACATATACGTCCCTCCTCTCCTTTGTCTAAAGCACCGAGGTCTTTCATTTCGGAATCGCTTAATTCGAAATCCCAAATAGATAAGTTCTGCAATATAAATATTATAAATCTTATGCGCGTGTCTTAACACAGAAACGATGGTAACATTTCGCTGATTCGCCCTTCATAAATTTGCCATTTTGTATTGAGCAGTGAAAATTCATTTTGTTTTGGCCGAACAGAATAATTATTATTCAATATTAAATTGACTTTAATGGAGATGGCCATTTCATTCGATAAAATATAACTAGTCAGGTCATAAGTATTATCACACAGTAAAAACTTTTCTTTTAGAATGCTGGCCACAAAAAAGTTTATTGAATTCGAATTTCGAATTGTTCATGAAAATAAAAATGTATACTTTTAGAATTTTACTCATTTTTAAATATGGAGTGGACGCTTAAAGAAGACCGTGTTGCAGTTATTGTGTTGCATCGTTGTGGTTACGCGCCAATTCAAATTTTTAACATACTGAAAAATTTGAATATAACCAAAAGATTCATTTATCGTACCACCAAACGATACAATGAAGACTCTAGTGTAGATAACAGGTCAAGAAATGGTCGCCCTCGGTCTGTTAGGACTCCAGCAGTGATAAAAGCTGTGAAGGCGCGAATTCAAAGAAATCCCAAACGTAAGCAGAAACTGTTGGCCCTTCAGATGGGGTTAAGCAGAACTACGGTGAAAAGGGTGTTAAATGAAGACTTAGGGCTTCGGGCATATCGAAGAAAAACAGGACATCGTTTGAATGCTCGTTTAATGGACCTGAGACTGAAGAGATGCTGCGCTTTGTTGAAGCGGTACGCGGGAAAAAAATATCGGGAAATTCTTTTTTCGGATGAATAAATTTTTACCGTAGAAGAGAGCTACAACAAACAAAATGATAAGGTGTACGCACACAGTAGTGAAGAAGCGAGCAACCGTATTCCGCGTGTCCAACGAGGTCATTTTCCATCCTCGCTCATGGTATGGTTGGGAGTTTCTTATTGGGGCTTAACAGAGGTACATTTTTGTGAGAAAGGTGTAAAAA